GTGTCCTCTTTAATAACACCCACTGCCCTCAGGGAGCAGAAAAGGCTACAGAACCTGACAGTGAACTCACTGAAACAGTATCTGGGCTGGGGGAACAGTCAGAGCCAGTCTCAGTCGCCCTCACCAGCACAGCAGCTGAGTCAGAGAGCCAGCCAGTGCCGGTATCAGTCGCCCCGATACAGAAAACAAAATATACCAGAAAGTCAGCTCGCAAAGTGAGGGATGGGGATGAGCCAGGCCCAGCACAGGAGCAGGAGGAAGGGCCAGAGGTGATCGTCCAATCTCTGTCCCCGACTGAGCTGCGAGATGTGCGGAGAGATTTCAGCTGCCTGGGAGGCGAGCAGATTTGCACCTGGCTGCTCTGATGCTGGGACAACGGATCCAGTGCTTTTGAAATGGAGGGGAGAGAGGCCAGGCAGCTGGGATCTTTGGCCAAGGATGCTGGCATTGATAGGGAAATAGGGAAACAGACTCAAACCCTCAGCCTTTGGAAGCGACTCCTGCTCAGTGTAAGGGAGAGGCCCCCCTACAAGGATGATATCCTATGTCAGCTGAGCAAACGGACCAGCATTGAGAAAGGCATCCAGAACCTCAGGGAACTGGCTATGTTTGAGATGATCTATGGTGACCTGAATAATGAACAGTCACCCATGGACCCAGATCAGGCCCCTTGCACACACCTGATGTGGCGAAAGTTCCTGAAGAGCGCACCAGAAGCACACTCAAAAGCACTGGCAATAGTGTCCTGGTGGACAGACACCCAGGCTCTAACAGTGGATGGAGTGGTTGGCAAGCTCCAGCAATATGAGGGAAATCTCCCTTCATCTCAGCATTCCTGGGTCTCAGCTGTGGAGGAACGGTCTCAGAGGGTCCAGAAAATGGAGGAGGACATGTCCTACGTTTCACCTGCACGGGCTAATGTCTCAGCCATTAGAAGTAAACATTTCTCCACCCAAGAGAAAGGCAGCAGAAGGCACACACCGAGGCACCCTGTGGATTTTCCTCTGCAACCATGGAGAAAACATGAGGAGGTAGGATGGACAGCCCACTGCTGCCCTAGCTGCACAAGTAGAGCAGCTGAAAGGGAAGACCACCACGAAAGGGGAGTCCTCCAAGAAAAGCGCAGCTCCAGTGTCCAGTCAGAAATCCCCCAGACAGAATAGAATGGCCAACATTATGTCTGACCCTCCTGGGGGGACCAGTAAATCATTCTTACAAGAAGTGAGTGATGATGAGCAGGATTAGAGGGGCCCTGCCTCCAGCCAGGTGGAGGAAAGGGATAATCGGATTTACTGGACAGTGTGGATCCGATGGCCTGGCACGTCAGACCCACAAGAGTATAAGGCTTTGGTGGACACTGGCACAGAGTGCACCCTGATGCCATCGAGCTACAGTGGGGTTGAATCCATCTGCATCTCCGGAGTGACAGGGGGATCCCAACAGCTGACCCTACTGGAAGCTGAAGTGAGCCTGACTGGGAAGGACTGGCATAAGCACCCCATTGTGACTGGCCCAGATGCCCTGTGCATCCTGGGCATAGACTATCTCAGGAGAGGGTACTTCAAAGACCCAAAAGGGTACCAGTGGGCTTTTGGTGTAGCTGCCCTGGAGGAGGTTGAACAGTTGTTCACCTCACCCGGCTTCTCAGAGGATCCCTCAGTGGTGGGGTGGCTTAAGGTTGAGGAGCAGCGAGTGCCGATTGCTACCAGGACAGTGCACCGGCGGCAGTACCGCACTAACCGAGATTCCCTGGTCCCCATCACTCCCCCTTCAACAGCCCTATATGGCTAGTGAGAAAGCCTAATGGCGGAGGCTAACTGTGGACTACCATGGCCTGAATGAAGTTACGCCAGCAATGAGTGCTGCAGTGCCAGACATGCTAGAGCTCCAGTATGAACTGGAGTCGAAGGCAGCCAAGTGGTATGCCACGACTGACATTGCTAACACATTCTTCTCCATTCTGATAGCACCAGAGTGCAGGCCACAGTTTGCATTCACTTGGAGAGGCATCCAGTACACCTGGAATCGATTGCCCCAGGGGTGGAACCACAGCTCCACCATTTGCCATGGACTGGTCCATACTGCACTGGAGAAAGGTGGGGCTCCAGAACACCTGCAGTATATTGATGACATCATTGTATGGGGGGACACAGCTGAGGAAGTCTTTGAGAAAGGAAAGAAGATAATTGAAATCCTCCTGAAGGCTGGCTTTGCCATTAAGCAAAAGAAAGTTAAGGGGCCTGCAAGGGAAATTCAGTTCCTAGGAATAAAATGGCAAGATTGGCATCGCCACATCCCAATGGAGGTGATAAACAAGATAACAGCCATGGCCCCACCAACCTCTAAAAAGGAGACTCAGTCTTTCCTGGGCGCTGTGGGGTTCTGGAGGATGCACATCCCGAACTACAACCTGATTGTGAGCCCTCTCTACCATGTAACCTGTAAGAAGAACGATTTTGAATGGGGCCCTGAGCAACAACAATCCTTTGAACAAATTAAGTGGGAGATTGCCCAAGCAGTAGCACTCGGGCCAGTCCGGGAAGGGCAGGAGGTTAAGAACATGCTCTATGCAGCAGCCAGGGAGAATGGCCCTACCTGGAGCCTCTGGCAGAGAGCACCTGGGGAAACCCGGGTCCGACCTCTGGGCTTTTGGAGCTGGGGATACAAAGGCTCTGAAGCTAATTACACACCAACTGAGAAGGAGATACTGGCAGCATACGGAGTTCGGGCTGCCTCAGAAGTGGTCGGCACTGAAACACAGCTCCTCCTGACACCCCGACTGCTGGTGCTGGGGTGGATGTTCAAAGGAAAGGCCTCCACGCATCATTCAACTGATGCCACGTGGAGTAAATGGGTTGTGTTGATAACACAACGGGCTCGAATAGGGAACCCCAGCCGCCCAGGGATACTAGAGGTGATTACGAACTGGCCAGAGAGCAAAGATTCCGGGATGTCACCAGAGCAGGAGGTGACACGTGCTAAGAGGGCCCCACCATATAACGAGCTGCCGGATGAGGAGAAGCGATACGCCTTGTTCACTGATGGGTCTTGTCGCATTGTGGGAAAACATCGATGGTGGAAGGCTGCTGCATGGAGTCCCACACGACGGGTCACTGAAGCTGCTGAGGGACAGGGTGAGTCGAGCCAGTTTGCAGAGGTGAAAGTCGTCCAGCTTGCTTTGGATATTGCTGAGCAGGAAAAGTGGCCAAGGCTCTACCTCTACACCCACTCATGGGCAGTGGCGAATACCCTGTGGGAATGGTTGCAGCAGTAGAAGCAGAACAACTGGCAGCATAAGGGTAAAATGGTCTGGGCTGCTGAAGTATGGCAGGACATTGCAGCCCATGTGGAAAACCTCGTTGTGAAGGTGCGCCATGTGGATGCCCATGTACCCAAGAGTCAGGCCACTAATGAACATCAACACAACCACCAGGCAGACCAAGCTCCTAAGATTAGAGTGGCTCAGGTGGACTTGGACTGGCAGCACAAAGGTGAACTGTTCATAGCCCGGTGGGTCCATGAGACCTCGGGCCACCAAGGTAGAGATGCAACGTAAGGTGGGCTCGAGATCGAGTGGTGGACCTTACTATTGACACCATCGCAGAGATCATGCACGGATGTGAGACGTGTGCTACAATCAAACATGCCAAGCGGGTGAAGCCCCAGCGAAATGGAGAGCGATGGCTGAAATATAGATCTGGAGAGGCCTGGCAGATTGATTACATCACACTGCCACAGACCCGCCAAAGGAAGCACCACGTGCTCACAATGGTGGAAGTAACCACTGGATGGCTGGAAACTTACTCAGTGCCCCATACCACTGCCCAGAACACCATCCTGGGCCTTGAAACCCAAGTCCTGTGGCAACACGGCACCCCAGAGAGAATTGAGTCAGACAATGGGACCCACTTCCGAAACAACCTCATAAATGCCTGGGCAGAAGAACACGGCATCAAGTGGGTCTGTCATACCCCCTACCACGCACCAGCCTCTGGGAAGATCAAGCGCTACAATGGACTGTTAAAAACCACATTGAAAGCACTGGGAGGTGGCACCTTCAAAGACTGGGACATGCATCTAGCAAAGGCCACCTGGCTAGTCAACACAAGAGGATCTGCCAGTCGAGCTGGCCCGGCTCAGTCGAGACCTCCACATGCTGTAGATGGGGATAAAGTCCCTGTGGTGCGCATGAGGAATACATTGGGAAAAATGGTCTGGTTTAGTCCTGCGCCAGGCAAAGGTAAAGGCAAACCCATCCACGGGATTGCTTTTGCCCACGGACCTGGGTGTGCCCAGTGGGTGATGCAGGACAACGGAGAGGTCCAATGTGTACCACAGGGGGATTTGATTCTGGGTGAGAACATGCCGGGAATTATGCTGTGCCTTTGTTAATTGTTATTTTGCTATTGCTAACTGCTAAATGGCAGCTGGACATGACGCAGATGGTATAGAATACAGGGGTGGATTATGTCCTGGTTCAGCTAGATAGGGTTAAGTTTCCCCAGCGAGAGAGAGAGGGGGAAGGGATCTCCAGGCGGGCTATTCATACCATGCTGGCGTCAGGTCCGGGAGCGGGAGCGCGGGAACTTTTTCCTTGGTGGCTTTGGTGACGGGGAGCTCACAGCAGGCTTGTTCCATAACCATTTGCGGTATTTCTCTGTGTATCTTTTGTCTTGCTTACTGTTATTGCTGTTTATTGTTGTTATCATTGCTACTGTTGTTGTTCAGAATGTTTATCACACTGTAGTATTAAATTTCTTCTTATTTTAACCCGGGTTTGTGCCTCACTGCCAGCCTGACCAGCTGAGGGTGGGGGAGGGGCAACAACAACATAGTCTCCGGTCCCGCCAGGGCTTAAACCAACACAGTGGTAGATGTCGCAGTGTTAGGTTGGACTTGATGATCTTAAAGGTCTTTTCCAACCTAAATGATTCTGTAATTCTTTGAGGGTTTGGATATCTGTTTTAGAAGTGACCTTTGTTGTCTCTCCTCTTCTTTAGTGTTTTTAACGGAGGACAAAGCCAATTCTGTGTTAAAAAGATACCCAAGAGCCAACACATTTCTGGAAGAATTAAAGCAAGGTGACATAGAACATGAATGCAGAGAAGAAATCTGTAGCTATGAAGAAGCAAGAGAAGCATTTGAAAATGAGGAAAAAACGGTATGGTTTGGGGTGTGTTTAAAGATGGGTGCCGTGTATTGCTACTGAGTTTTGGAGTGTGCTGAATGCTTGTGTGTTTTCCAACATTACATTATATTTGTTTCTCTTTTTGGCCTGTTTTTTAAGCAAAATAAGGTGTACAGTAGAGATGGATAGACTGCACAGCAATAACTTTTGAATCCTTCATCCCAATTAAACTGAATCTGAAGGGGGTAGAAATCTCAAAGGGAATTATGGTCATAAGTGTTGTGAAAATTGGCAGCTGGGAAGAAAATGAACATGAATATGAATTAATACCCCCACTTGAGAAAAGGTTGGCACCTGTTTGGCAGCACTATTTACTCAAATAGCCTATGTACTGGTGGTTCTTTCATCACACACTTCAGTCTGACCTGGATATATCACAATTGCAGTTCTCTTGCTTGGAAGAAATTATGGGATTGGGACTGTTATGGGGAATATGTAGAGGAAGGGGGCACCAGTCTTCATTTACCTCACTTCCCTTTGGAATAACGTGTTTTTTGAATATGTTCACGAGTAAGCAGTTAAAAATCTTCCAATTTAAAATACACCTTCATATCCCTGGTGCTGGTATAGGTGGACAAAGTGTTCAATACCCAGACTATTAGTAGTCTAAAAATGAGGAAAGACTAGTGGACTTCCTCCAACTAAAATCTGCAAGCTCCAGAAAGTATTGTTAAGCAGCAGGCATCTATAATGTGGAAAGAACAATTCAGTGCTACCATATGTTATGCAAGGGCAGTGATACATTAACTTGAAGGGAATGAAGCAGATACTGCCCACACAGAATTGTTCCACAGGTCTGTTGGCTTCTCTAATTAAAAGAAGATTGTGGGCTAATGCCTCTGCAAGCAATAGCTGCACATCATACCCAACATATCTTATATTACCTCCCAACAAATAAAACTAGCACACAGGGTTTTGATGGTGGCACCTGACCTATTTAAAACAATACAGTCCAGATTTTTTTTTTTCTTTAAAATGGACATGGATTAAATTAGTGCTGAATTTGAGGATAAATCTAAAGTGAAAAACAGGTACTAGAAAATGTGATTCAGAAAACTTATCTTCAAATAAAGCTTCTACCCTTTGTGGTATTTTTGCACAGGGAAATTGTACTTGCAAGGCCAATGGGTTGATGGGCAGAGTAGCACAGGGAACATTGCAGATTTCTTCCAGAATTTACACAGGTGATATATTCTACTCTTCAGTGACTGAGCTCTATGTCAAAAAAAATAGTGATGTGTAAAGGCATATTGAATATTTTGAGTTTCTGGCATCATTTTGTTGGAGACCATACCTGGGGAGATGGATAAGGCTAGAATGAGAACTTTCTGATTTATTAAAATGAAGTAGTAGGACATGCAGTGTCTCTTCAGAGCTCCTTTCTGAAGCCTTAAAGTGCAATCACACACATGTGTTTTACCTCCCAAATGTGGCTTTGTGTGGCCATTCCTAATGATAGCATTGTTAATTACATTGTGTAGTTAAGAATAGTGTGTACAGTGACAGAACTTCTGTAAAATTCTGACACAGTGTTCTTTTTGCTTAAATAGCACAAGAAGATCAAGTCACTAGAGAAAGCATGGCCTAAACATGTTGCCTCTCACTTCAGCTTCTCTTCTCCCATTTAGGAACATTTTGTGTTCTGGTAGATTTCCCTTGCAGAGGTATTTGAGAAATAGTAAAATAGAAATAGTTATATTTCTGCTCTTGCCACAGCCTTTGTGTCACAGTGGAGAAGGAGCTTCCAATAACACCCTGACTTTTTATCTATTTCTACTACAGTATCCTTTTTTTCCTAGCTGCTTTATTCCATTGTTTGTGGCTTGCTAATGGGCTAGGCTCTGCTAATGTGTAGTGCCTGACCAGCCACATTTACTTGGGCCTTATTTAGTCCATTGTTACTCAGCAGTATCCATCCTTACAGCCACTTAGTAAAACACAACTTCTGTGTCCCAGAGGAAGGAAATGGATGGAGTAGACAAGGATTATGGTACAGTATGTTCAGAGTAACAAAGATGCAGTGATTTCATAGTATAGATGGACTGGAATTCAAATAGGGTCTGTTGTTTGTTTATCTCGGGGTAACTTTGTTTTGTGTAATCTCTCTCTTTGTATTTTTTATCTTGTCCACTTGGTTGGGGTTTTTTTCTGCAGCCTTCTGGAGAGGTGTGCAACATCTGGATTTGTAATACTAAAATAATATCAAGCAGTTGCCTCAAGTTTATTTTTATTTTTGGTGCATAAGGTTTTTTTTTGGAATTAGCATTGTGTACAGACATAGCTGTCATGAAAATGTTGAATGCCTTTAATGTTTTGTGGGCTTGGGGATTTTGATGGGTTCAGAATTATTATTTAAAATGATAAAATTAATTATAAAGATAATATTATTGTGTTATTCTAGAGCCAACAGGGAAGAAATTGCAGGACTTTGTGGATAAAACAGAGTATAAAATTCAGTGTTGACAAATGTAATTCATGCAGGGGAAAAGGGAACATTCATTATATATATGATTGGCTCTGAAAGGAATTTGGGAATAAAATCTCAATTTGAATCTTATTATGAGTTGAATTTAATGCTCAGCAGTCAAACAAAACAAAATAAAAACCTGACTGCTAAGAATATGAAGAAAGAAATAGGGATCAAAATGGAGAACTTAATTATGTCATTGCACATGTGCATCTCGAGTGTGCCATATACAGCTCTGATCTCCCAATCTCCTAAAAACCAAGTTAGTAGCTGAGGAAGGACCACAGAACCAGAGAAGTGTGACAGTTGAACAAAGATATGAAAACACTTCTGTAACAACAGTAGATTGGAGAAGAGTTAAATCGGTGAATATGTTGTGATGACTGTGAGGAGCATGAAGATTGATCTGAGGTCAGTCACTTGCTATTCTTCTGACAAAGAAGCTAAGAGTGCTAAGAGGGACTCAAAGGAAACTAGAAGGTACAGGTTTAAAGCAGATAGAAGTATCTCTTCTCGTCACAGGTAATAGAGCTGTAGACTGCTCTTTGGACTTGCCACAGGATGTCTTGGATCCTCAAAGCTTGTATAGGTTCAGAGAAAAATGGTATAAATTTACAGAAAATAAATCGATCTGGAGCCATTGAATAGAAGGGGCCAGCTTTGGCTAAATGGAAATTCTTGAAGTACAAATAGGTGGAAGCTGGGAGAGTATTTCTGCCTGCTTATGTTTGAACTCTTTTGGCAGTCTCTAATGATTGTTGTCAGAGAGAAGGTAACGGATTAGGTAAACCCTAGGTCTGATCTATTAGAGCTGTTTATTTGTAGTACCTGTAGGCTGTAGGCAGCACTAGCACTGTATGTGGTTGCTGGTCAGTTGTCAAAGGTTGTTGGCAGACTCAAAGATTTGTTCAGAGGTTGCTGTGCAAAGTATTTGGGTGTGATTGAGGCACTGATACTGATTTTATTTCCATTAACTCATTTTTTAAATTATACTGCATGAAATTTTTAAAAGCTGGAAGTCACAGATCTTCATTTGTGTTTCAAATTTCCCACAAATATTAAGTATTACAGAAATTGCAAGGTTCTCTGTATAGCTCTATTCTAGCAAAATAAACAGCTAAAAAGCTTAGCAAGCAACTCGGAACTCATCAACACCAGATCTAAAATGATGTGATGAAGTAAGGCTTCTAGCATCAATCTGTGTCTGATTATGGATGCTGGATAAATAACCAGAAAAGGTGAATCTTTTCCTGCCACCTGAAAATGAGGGCAGATTATAAGAAAACAGTATTGCAGGTACTCTTACTTCCCGCTATTGCTTTGTTTACATCCTCTGCCTACTGAATACCAAGCAGTCTTCTGACTGGCATATTATTAGTCCACCTTTAAAATAAGTCAGACAATTTACCAAGAATCATTTGAGGCTGAAGGTGCTGCCAAATGTACTAAAGGCCTCAGCTGAAATTCTCATCAGGGTTGTGAGTCTCTTAACTTTCATGTGGATCCCTTATTTGATTCAGCATTCAGATCCAGCTGACTGATGCTGACTGTTCTGAGAAGTATTAGAAATAAAAGAGAAACCGAATTCTTGCAAATTGGCTGTAACATTCTTTGTGTGGGATGTCCTTGAGAATTCCTTTTGATTATTTCAGACTGGATTTGCCAGAGCAGTAAGGGACATTCAGAAAAGTAGTTCATGGCAGGAATATATGTTAGATGCTTTCTAAGTCTTTTCCATTTTGGTTATCTGGTTCTGTGGCCTGCTTAAGTTAGTTTTTCAGCCTTTTAAGGCATATACACCTGGTGTTCCCAGCTGTGTAGCACTTGAGGATAAACAATTACTTGGAGTATCCTTTTCATAAACCATAAGTTAATAATTTTGTCAAGTAGAAAGAATGTCCTTTTTGGTTTTGGTTTAAGAGACCAGCAACTTTGGAAGGGATGTTTGTGCTCTGAGTTTTCCAACTTTTAAATTACTCTTTAACTTTCCGTATGAGTCCTGCAACTACTTCCTAGGTTTTCAGGATTTCCCCCTCTCTTTCACAGCAGTTTGTACAAATCCTCACACTGTGCAAATTCATCCATGTTTTCTGTTTTTGTTCAGCATGATTTGACTTTGACAGGGTGGTTTGTCCTCCTCCTGTGCCTTCACTTCACAGTGCAGCATAGCTGTGAGATGGCAAAGCAGAGAGGGAGCTGCTCAGCAGCTGTGTGACTCAAACCTGAAGTATTAGTTTCCTGCAGTTCCTGTCAATTCCATCAGCCTGGAACTAACAGTCTTGGTGCTTCTCTTTGAGATTCGGATTGCAAAAATGCAAGCTGGAAACCTGGGGTCTAGTACGCTAGTAAGTTTTTGGTTGGTGGATTTTTTTGTGGGTTAGGATTTTGGAGGTTTTTTTCCCCAAACTGGAAAATTTAAAGATTTTTTTTTTTAATTACTAAACAAGTATTTTAATACCTTAGTATTTTTCACCTGTGTGCAGAACTTTATTCCTCTGTCTCTGTAAGATAGCCTTAGACCTGAAGCACAGTAACTTTTGACAGGAGTTTATGTGTCTAAACTGTCCTGGAATTTCCTTTGCTTTGGTTGTAAATTAAAGTGGAGAACTACCTTCATCCTTAAGGCATTTTAAACTCTTACCTTAAGCTCTTTATTCACATGTCTGGTCTCACCATCAGCTTGAACATCCCCCACAGCCACACACCTTATTCTGAACTAATTGCCTGCTACTCTGAAAAAACAGCTTTTCTGCTGCTTTGCCATGTTGCAGGGTGACAAGGAGAGATGCTGGTATTTCAGCTTTCTGTAGAAGGTACAGAGACGTTTTCTCCAGCAGATAAGAGTTGAGCTAGAAGTAACATGGAAACAGTACTAAAATACCAATCACAACTTATTACCCTTCCACAGGAGGAAGTACATTTCCTTTGCAGTCCGCAACACAAAATACATTGCGAAGGGAAGCATGATTTCTTCTTTTTCATCAGGATTACCTTGCTCCTCCACAGAGTCTTTAAAATGACACATCCTTGCAGAGTATATTTGATGACTTTCAGTAAATCTTTGCAACTTTGTCATCAAAACCACACATTGTACCATTTTATTTCTTGAGGTAACAGAACAGTGAAGTGGGAAGTCTGGTTCCAGTACAGACAGTAGCATTTAATAATCCTAATGAATCCTTTTGTGCCTTTTTCATTGAGAATGTATTTATTCTTTATTCCACTAGAGAATCTAGTTGGTTGTATTCAAAGCAGATGAAAAGGTAATAGGTAACATCTTAATTGTCTGGTTATCTGGTGGGGAGAGGTGAGGTGTTTGGTTTTGTCAGGTTTTATCATGCAGAGATCTAAAAAAAAAAAAAAAAAAAAAAAAAAAAAAAAAAAAAAAAAAAAAGAGCCGTGCAGCTAATATAATTTTTTTAAAATGTTAGTTTCCCCTCCAAAATATGTCTTTCTAAACTCAGCATAGTTGATCTGGGGCTCACTGTGGAACAATGCATCGAGGAAGGCCCTTGTAGAGAAGTACTTGGAGAGGTTAGTTCATCTTCTAGGAGATGCTTACTTTGAAGTCAGTGCTACTTGATTTAGCTTGTGATGTCAAGCTTTGGAATTTAGGAAAAATGCCTGATCCTGGATTGCTGTAGAAATGAAGATTTTTTCTTCTTTTTTGTTGGAACTTGCATTGAGTGTAGGGATAAGAACAACTGAAAATCTACAGGATAGCCAGTTGTTTCATGTACATGGCATTGCTCTTAAACTTAGTAAGTTCTGATCCAGAAGCACTGTGCGCATTTGTTTTGCCCATGGTGTCCTGGTCTTGGCTTTGCACAGGGCAAGCTTAGCCTCCATGCTAAAGAGGCCATACTGCTTCTGGACTCAAGCTGCCTCTGAGATCACTTTGGTGGTCATGTGACAGCAGTCCTGAGCTTAAAAATTGATAGATCTGATTTGTCCGTGCACAAAGTCAGTCAGTCAGCCATCTGAATGGCATCATGTACTACTGAGCAATGACAGTATCAATTTTACCTGGTGACTATTTTAAAAATACTTGCATGTAAGATGTGTGCTCTTATTTAAAATAGATGCTGGCATGAGTATGAATGGGTCAGGTCTCTGCTTTTTTTAAAGAAAACTAAAGAGTTCAGAATTTCTGGCATGGATTTGGGGGGGTGTTAATTACTTTTTTTTATATTTTACATGACTATAAAACACAGTGGAAGTGTTTCTTAGGGGTGAGGATAACTGCTTTTTTGAGGCAGGGTATGCTTTGCTTTGTACTGTTTTTTTCATAGCATTCACTAAAAATTGGATGGTGACATGATCTTTGTGCTCCTGCTTGTGCATATTAATACAGCAAAGAGTACTTTCAAGTACTGGTGTCCCCCTTCATCTTTGTTTTCACTTGTTCATATTTTTTCCTTTTTACTTTCTGTTCCATTTAACTGTAGCTATGTTGTCAAAAATTCTAGAATATAACGTGTAACATTCTCATAGTGCTAGAGCTATTTTTGACTATAAACATGGGATCTGAATCAACTCAAAAGAAACTGACAACAATTGCTTTATGAGCCAGAGGGTGGGAGAAGTCTAAATTATGAGATGACAGTACAACATAGTTGTACTTTGCTTGTGGTTTTGGTCTGTCACTTCAAAGCAGTATTTCCCTGTCAAATTGTATTGGTATATTATTACAGTTTTAAAACAAAGAAACAAAATCCTAATTTTACCTTGAGTGGTGCTGAAAAATTTTAATCTACCAGATGGCTGATGTGCATGCTGATTAGATTTTTTTTAAAAAATTTTTTTTTTACCTAGTCCTGCCTGTGCCGCACATTTGTAAGTATTAAGTGCAGACACAGTAATCGTAAAAGCAGTGAGGAGTTGGTTTTAAAAAACAAAACCCTTTTTGTATCATTAATCACATCAGAAGATTTGAAAGTTTATTGTATGTGCTTATCCATAGCAGTCCTTATTTTAGTCATCAATATTTGAAATGTCTTTTTTCCTCATTCATTTAAAACAACTTGATTACATGATTTTTATTTTTTTTTAACTGTCTTATAGTTTCTGACTTATCCTGTCTTGCTCTTTTAGAAGGAGTTCTGGAAAGTCTACAAAAATGGACTTCAGGGAGAAAGTAACACAGGACATAACTGGTATTCATTTTACCTTGCATTTCCATTAATCATTGGCCTTTTTGTTATCCTCATTGTCATTTTTGTCATATGGAGATGCCTGTTTAAAAAGAAAATGCGTAGACAGTCGGTGTACGTGCATAGGGGAGCCCACGAAGCAATGGGTGATGGTGCTGTGGCTGACAGCAGAGGTCCTCTTCCGCCGCCTCTCAGCATTGTTCATTCCCCACAGGAGGAAATGTATGAAGTCAGTGGGCTCTCTCCAGGAGGTCTGAGCTATACGGATGGACGGTCAGACTCGATATCTACAAGGCTCTCAAACTGTGATCCTCCTCCTTCATATGAGGAAGCCACTGGTGAAATCAGTATGAGAAGTGAAACTGAACAACATTTAGATCCACCTCCACAATATGAAGACATTGTAAACTCCAGTTCAGCCAGTGCAATTGCACTATCTCCTCTTGTCACCAGTACCAAGTAAAGCAAGAAGAATGCTATGGACTTTAAAAAAATTACTAATCATTTTGTAGCACTTTATCTTGGCTTATTATGCATTTCCGTAATTTAATAGACTTGTACAATGAACTTCACTTTTGGTTTAGATTCACTTGTTCTTTGGGTTTGGGATTTCTTGCCCTATGGCAGGTCTTAAAAGATAAGGAGTCTGTATTGAGAGTGCAGATGCAAATGTGGTGCTCTGTCATACTTCTCAAAAGTAACTCTGCTTTGAGGGATATCACTTGTTTTATTCCAGATGTTGTCCACATTCCCCACAAGATTTGTGGAATCCCCCTCCCCTTTCTTACTGTAGACTGTCAGAATTGCCTGAGATAGGGCTTCCTTAAGCAACATTTTAGATAGCTATTTACACTAAAGGGGACCGATTTTGCAGTATTGCCTCTTGTCTGATTGGTTCCTTTTTCTTATTTGGATTTTTGTTACATGATGCACCCTATCATGGGCCTTGGAAGGCTGAGAGCAGTATGCCTTTGTGTACAAACCAGTATCATTAAGAGTATGCTGCCATAATAGCAATAATTTCATAGTCCTAGCAGAAGAGTTATGTTCTAAAGCTTTTGCTATTACAACTCAAAATTCTTTAAATATTTAGAAGCTAACAATTCAAGATACTAATTAGTGAATTTTTTTAGTGTACTTTTTTGTCTGTGTTCTGCCTTTCCTCGCTGTTTTCCTATCTGTTCTTACTTGCATATTCTAGAGGTGAGAATGTGAGGTGTGCATACGTTAACTTTAGAACTTGAAAGTTCACGCAACAGTAAATAATGAAACACCGAAATAATCAGGTGGATAAAATCCTGATCATAGACTTCCTACCATACTCTTCACTGGGACCAGGATGTTATCCATAAACACATAAACCCAAAGGTATTAGTTTCCTTTTTAAAAGGGAAAAATGGAAAAGCATTCATTGTGTGAGACTTTTTTTTTTTTTAATATGAAATAAAAACCCCTTCAAATCCTCATACTCTTGCTTCTTGCATATTTACATGTACTGTGTGTGCACCTTGTGTTGGTGGATATGGAAATCCTTTGTAGAGAGTATAGATACCTTTTTCAACAACAAACATATTTACTGCTTATCCATTCTAACAAGGTGCTTCTGTTGCAAAAGTTAACAATACATTACAATGAAATAAAACTACTTATATTTTTCATTGTTTATAAGAACAGTGTAGTACTTTTATCCGTGACATGAATTCTTAAATTGCACTCCATTCTCAGTGTATGCAAGTCTCTTTTTCACAGTTCTTAGGTTACAGGGGCTCATCAGAGTAAGAGGTGCTGGGAGCGTGTTAGTCCAGGCTGGCTCCAGTAGCGTGTGGCCAGCCTGGCTCTGTTCTCTCCAGCTGCAAGGCCTGCCTAATGCGGGGCAGAACCATGAGGGCCCGCTGTGTTGTACTGCTAAGAACACAACACAGGCATAGCCCTCTACACATTAGTCTGGAGTGACTTTTTGAGGCTGAAGAGATTTGGATTTCTGTCAGACTTGATGCAAGTTAGAATAGAGGCTTGTGCAGAATTTCAACCACCTGGTTTAAGTGTTGATGGTAGTTAAGGTGGTGCAAGCTGTAATGTGCGGATTCTTTTTTCCCAGCTTTATTTAAAAGTTCATTGCTTGGTTTAGCTTCTGAATATTCATTTCATTTCTTTCTTCTCGCACCAAGGTAGCATGGCATTAGATTTATTATTGTTTTGTGTCCTACAAATCATTTAGCACCAACTGAAATATAGTTAGCCCTAAAGGACTACTGTGTTATTTTGGCTTTCTTACAACAGAAACCCGAACTGCATCTTGTTCCAGAGACCCCGAATGAAATGCCAGTGGCATCCATTTGAAATTGCTGTTAATGTCTGAGATGTGTGCTGAGATGTCTGCCGTCTCATGGGGGCTTGGCCTGTCTTTTCCCTAAGGCATTTTACAGAAAGTGGCTGAATGAAAATAAATATATGGTCATAAGTGGGTGCGTATATGCACATTTGTGTAAGAATTAGATATAATGTATTGACAAGTGAAGTAAGGATTTTAGGATTAAATTTGTGTTCTCATTTTTGAAAAAGAATAGGTTGCCTAAGTTGTCTGCTGGAGATCTTCAGTTGCTAAGGTAAATTGTATTAGAGTTAATAGAGGAACTCCAGGCCAAACTGTTGTCAAAAAGATAACTCTTATTTATATTTATTATATATAACAGATATTGGGTGGATAACTACAGTATGTTCTGGACACTTGTAGTAAGAATTGCCTGGGTCTTGTTTTTGGACTGTCTGACCTTTACTTTTGAAGTGGTTTTAGCTCTTATGTGTCTGAATTGCCACCTGTAGAAGTTAAAGTTCCTTTTATACTGAGCAACAGTTACCTAGTGCTTTAGGCAGATGTTACCAAAACAAAGTGCCTCATCTCAACATGCAGGAACCACCTCAAAAAGAGCTGGTATTTCAACATCCATGCCATATTGGCATTTCCTGTGCCTGGGAGCACTAACTCTTTTTGCTTGGATATAAGACTTTCTTGTAGGAAATGCATAGAGATCACCTATTTCACATTAGATCATTCAGCAGCTGTCATCATTCCCTGAACAGGAGCACCGTCATTTTAGAGATGAGCTGGCTTTTTTTTTTTTTTTTAATTACTCTTATGTTCCACTATCACTTTTAACAGCTTTATGTTTCTGGCTCTGAGTTGAATATGTTGCTGTATCCTATAGATACTTTTATGTTCAGTGCAAAAATTATGCTTTTCTTTCAAAAACGGCCACAACCAAATATCTAAAATGATCTGTGAGTTGAATTTATCGGGCTATGCCTTTTCCCTGTACATGATCATAAAAGCCATCGTGGGCTATAACCTTATGTCTTAGTGAATAAATTTCATTTATTAAACAAAACTTGCGTGGGACAGTTATCCAAATGCATTTCCTGTAAGTCCTGAACAGCTTTCTCCATATTGGAATAATGTCAAATTACAAATTATTTTGTTCTGTTTTGTGAAGTATGGGAAAATGGCTTAGTCTTATGGCTGGCTTTTCTAATCTGATTGAAAAATAAAATTTCATTTTTACTGGGTTTTTATACAGCTTTTATTACAAGTCACTTAGTTGTTTTACCTATCCTGTAATTACATTGTCATGTAATAAATATTATAAATTTTTAGTGGTACCTCTAAAAGTTTTGCAAGTCTGAATGCAGTACTGTCTTGACTGATGACATGAATAGTCAGGATACTGCCTTTCCCAGTTCTGAATATAACATTGGATTTCATCATATTAGGACTGAGATGATTTATCTGCTAAAACTAACTTAAATGTAAGTGTTGCTGTTTTATGAAATCATGGAAATTAATTATTTGCTTAGATGATACTTGGCATTAGTGAAGGTTGTTCTGTCTTCACTGGATGTAAATAACCTCTGATTACAGTATTGCATATTTTAAAGGGGTTTGGTTTACATTAAATTATCCTATTTAAACATTTTTGCCTATGTTTATAGAAAAACTTTTGTAACATTTGTTTTTGGATATGCTAAATAAAATTTTTTAAGATGCCTCTAATGTTTCAAAATGTCAATTCTACAACTACAGTGAGAATTAACTCTGTATTTGAGTGGTGGCCTTTTGATTTTCATTGTTATATGTACTTATTCTGTTGCAGTGAATCAGTTGTTTTCATAACTTAAAATACAGATATTTTGTTTGCAGGTAGACTTGGTATTGTTTCAAAATTCAGGCTTGTTTTTAATCAGATTTATGAATTTATTTTTTTCCAATTTTTGTTGCAGCCATAGCTAAATAACAGTTACAGAAAGAGGGAAAACAGAAATTGTTCTCTGTTACAACATATTGAAACAGTACACTGTAGCAACAAATGTTTGTCAGAGGACTTAATTTCAGAGTTGGCTTCAGCCGTTTAAAAGAAAGTGATTGCAAAAGTTTGCATCAGCTCTGGGAATGATATATTAATAACAAACAAAAAAAAAAAAAAACACCACAAAACCCAAACCCAACAAACCAACCTTGCATTAGTGATCCCTGCTGGAAGCTAAAGATCTCCATTCCAGTCAAGAAAAAGTTTCTCTCACCCTTTCTCACTCAGCTACTAGTAAATAGGATATGTCCCTGGTATTTTTCACTAGCTTACCGCAGGACTAGAGTCTGCTGGAGATGTTAGTGAGGCCCCAGAGGAGGTATGTATCTTTGCACTCATGTTCACAGAACTCTGTGTTGTACAAAAGTACCAGAAGAGTCACCTGAAGCAACAAAGTGTATGTGACCTTCCAAGTTGTCACGTGCATAGTGTAGCACCTTGGTCCCCTTGGTAAGCTTTTATTTGCATAGCTCAGACCAACACCATCCAAACAGAAGGCTCTGTGTTTGGTTAAGTGGCATTTGCAGTGCAGATACACGCCCAGTGTCCTGACCATACATCCATCAGCACTGGCTCATGTGTTTGCACGTGGTTCAGTGCACAATTGCCTCTGCATGCCTGGCTTCTAGCTATTGAAACATGGCAGATAAAATGTTAAAGTGGTATCATGAATCTTGGTGTCTATAAAAATCAAATCATCCCACCAGGTTACTAGTGATGAATGTTCACTATTTATTGTTTTGTATGCCCTGAACACTGTTCTCTGCCACTCTAAATCACACTGATAGATTCCTTTTTATCTTCTGCATAATGTTAACTTTGTATTTCCTAGTGCTACTTGGTGATTTTTAAAAAGAAAGAAAATCATGTTTGGCTGAAAGTGAGGTGATATCCATAGTATTTCATTGCTTGTTGCACACATATTTGATTGATTTGCTACAGGATAATTGAACTTTGAGCTTTGCCAGAAAGTTGAACTCCACTTGTCTTTTGCAGTAGGATCTCAGTAATTGTATTTTTGATTTGGCAGTGAGTTACTGAATCAAGCCAAGTAACAAGTCGGTGCAAGAAATGCCTTGCCTCTATTCTCTGGATTGTATATATTATGCAGCATCTTACCATTTAGCTCTCTGCAACAATGTTTGCTGTAATATTAGGACCTGTCTTCTTTTTCCTTGTCCTGTCTCAGTGTACCATGCAATAAAAGTGCACTGACTGCTGTGCTGTTTTTTCCCTGTCTTAGAAACAACATCATCTAAGAATCAAAACCTTTCAGCGTGACCTGCTGTTTTCTTCTCCAGTTGGAAGCTTTGTATGTACCTGCGTGGCTCCTGGGGTTATCTGAGGAGCTTAAAGCAAGAAGGAAACAAGTACTTATAAAACCTATTTTC